CCTGAATCCCAGGTTCGACTATCCGATGGACCCTCCTCTCCAGGACCCCTGAATAGACCTTACCAGGGAGGCTTAAGAGTGTGACCCCCCTGTAATTGTAGCACACCCTCCGGTCCCCCTTTTTAAACAGGGGGACCACCACCCCAGTCTGCCAATCCAGGGGGACTACCCCCGATGTCCATGCGATATTACAGAGTCGCGTAAGCCAACACAACCCTACAATATCCAGAGCCTTAAGGAACTCCGGGTTCTGTTGGCTATATTATATTGTATAAATCAATAGCTAACCAATTATATATTAGAAACGTATAAAAAACATTCATTCTTATTGCAGTTCTTGCATTTCTTTAGAGTTTCTCATTAAGAAACAAATATATCAAAGACAAATTTTTCCCCATCCTGTTTTTCAAGGACTGAGGAAAAAGTAAAAATGACTGATTGTGTTAGTAAAAGTCCAACCTCTTGCCCGGCTGAGGGATGGTGTGTGTCCTCACACACACTTAGGGAGATGAGGCAACGTGTTCGATTAAAGCTTCGACAGCTGGCAGCACTGCGAGACTCCGTTACATTACTTCTGCAATCATTCCGTGCCAGAGGCGCCCCAGAATTTACATAAAATAATTTATCAGCAGCCRCAGTCCATCGCGGTGCGCATTGTGCACACTAATCCCCCCCCCCAAAAAGAGGTCCACAAGTGGATAAAGTGAAGCGGAACAAGGTAAGAAAACAGACACGTCCTTGTAAGTTTAAATGTCAATCACAGAAACCAATTAAAGACTTTTAGAAAGTCAGCATCAGGAACTGTTGGGTTGTGGGTACTAATTATTACATTAGGCTTTGACAGAGGTTCCTTGTTATGTTTTAGTGTTTTATTGAGAGAGGCTGTGGCAGCTGAGGATTTGAAGGGAATGCACACGTAACTGAGCGCCAGACAGAACAAGACATGAAAACAAAACGGGACACTTACATAGAAGCAACCTGCCGTATTTTTCTTCTTTATTCCCGGTGCATTCACTGGGAATGATGCAACGCTTTGCATTTAGCTGCGGTTAATTCAGCGTTAAAGAGAGATGAATCTCAGCCAGGGGGACTCGGCTATATTTGCAACTGGCTGTGGTCCACCACTGTAGTGCTCTCCACACTTTGGTCACTTATCATTGCGCGGCTGATGGAAGGCAGCTGGTAATGCTGCACACATGACAGCCATTGGACAACAGCAAACCAACCGTGTGATGACAGAGCAGACGACGGCGGCTCGAAACATTCTGATTGTCAGCARTCATTAACGTTAATCTKTTAATGCAGACATACGACCAGTCATCCCCAGTCGAGAGGGTTTACGGTGGTCTCCGGTGCGGAGGCGAGGCTTTACACTCACTCCACGCAGCGCTTCAGGGTGTGGCCCTCACTGAGCTGATCGGGGAGTTTGTTGCAGCCCGTGCAGAACTTGAAGGTTTCCTCCATCTTCTGGAACATCTCCTTGTAGTTGCGGAATGAGATGCCTTTAGTTTTCCCCTCAACTGCAGCCCTAATGAAAGAAACACACTCATGATGGGCACAACAGCACACAGGCCAACCTCACAAACTCCAATCCATTAACGCTCAGAGTGCTTGTTGTGAGTGACTTGGAGCTACTTCCACACCAAATTGTAGCTTAGCTCAATATACATATAAGTGACCGAGCTGTAGCCATTTTTGTGTTTTATAAGTTCAGCTGGCTGTGGCGGCCATCTTAAATCGGTTTGACTCCAAAACTTAACCAGCTGTTGTTGTCCATCCAGTGATTACTTCCTGAAAGTTTTGATCGCATTTGTCCTGTGGTTCATGAGATATTTTGCTAACAGACAGGCGCACACGTACAGACAAAAGCAGCATACCTGTATTCTCTGTAGTCCTTCATGTTCAGCTTGTTGAGGATGACCTTAGAGAGGCCAGGCACGTTGGAGTCTAGAGAGTAGAAACCGGACAGGTCGGAGAAGACGCTGTCAGTGCCTGGAGTGAAGGATGATGGGAGTGCTGGGGTCTGGGACGCCATGCTGCGCTCAGTTCTCTGCACYGGAGGACGTAAGAAACAGTGAAAACATGGCGCCTTTTTCTTTAATCGCAAAAAAATCTAATGTTAGCTTCTGCTTTTCTTTCTCATTTTAAAATGAAAGTTAACAAAAACACGTTTTTAAAACACCGTCTCTCTCTCTCTCTCTCTCTCTCTCTCTCTCTCTCTCTCTCTCTCTCTCTCTCTCTCTCTCTCTCCATGATCCTGTTGACAGGGAACTTTCATGACAGGAGGATCCTCCAAATCTCTCGCCACCCGAGGTTTCATTTGTTGTCCTTGACAGAAATCCTCCACCCCACTAAACTGACACCCCCACCACACACACACATACACACACACACACACACACACGTTTGTTTCTCGACCCCGTGGGGACCTTCCATTGACTTCCATTCATGATTTTTTTTAGACTTTATAGCCTAACCCTGACCATATACTCTAAAATTAACCTCACAGAAACTTACCTGACCCTAAACCTAACCCCACACCTGGAACATGCATTTGGACCCGTGAGGACCTGACAGTGGTCCCCACGATTCACTTCGGTCCCCACCTGGCTGCTTTTTTTTGTAAAAAATACCCCACGTTGTAGGAAAAACACACACACACACACACACACACACACACACACACACACACACACACACACACACACACAC